GGATCGCGGTTTAAAGCCAGCCTAGGGCAAATGGTTCCCAAGACGCTCTGTTGAAAAAAAAAATCAATAAAAAGGGCTGATGTAGAGACTCAAATGCTAAGAATGCCTGCCTAGCAAGTGTGGGGCCCTAGGTTCAAACCCGTGTCGCAAAACAAACAAACAAAAAAAACCCTCATCATATAATACATATATATGCTGCATATAACTAATATACATATATACACACTAAATGATAATTTTACTATTAACTGTGCTTATTTAGTGTGTGTAGGTTAGCTTATTATTTTAATTCTTCACCATGCTCATGTATTGAAAGAACTAAACAGTGGAGTTTTTAAGAGGACTGTCTTTAAATTGTCCTCTGATAATGCTGGACCTGGACAAGTAGCTCTTGCTACTCAAAAGTGTGGTCCGTAGGCCCAGAGTGGTGCACACCTGTAACTTCAGCCCTGGGGAAACTGAGGCAGGAGCATTGTGAGCTCCAGGCAAGCCTGAGCTACATAGCAAGACCCTGTCTCACTAAACAGAAAACAAACAAAAAGTGTGATCCTGGACCAGCAACAGAGAGCTGGGAAGTTAGAAACTCACTCTCAAGACACCCTACCCCACACACATACACACACACACCCCTAGCGAAGCAGAATCTATGCTCAGCAAGGTCTGTGGGGTGACTCTGAGCACATAAAAGTTTGAGACACTCTGGGTCTCAGTTTCTCCTCTACTCAAAGGGTCTTTTATGGAGGTGTCTATCTACCGCCCTCTCGGTTGCAGTTTTCTAAACTCATTTCTTGTAGTCATCTGCCGTGAGTCCCTACAAAAAGATGCAGCTGAAACGACCAAAGGATGAGTGGCCTGGCTGAACAGACCCCTTTTTAAAATTTTTTATTTTATTATTATTGTACTGGGGATACACTGTGATACTTACGAAAGTGCTTACAATTTATCTTAATTAAATTCACCCCTCCATCATTCTCCTTCATCCTCTCTCCCCCCATTCCTGGAATAGTTTCAGCAGGTCTCATTTTTCCATTTTCATACATGAGTACACAATATTTCCACTACATTCACCGTCCTACACCCTTTCTTTACACCCTCCCTCCTCCCATTGGTACCAACCCTCCAGACAAGACCTGTTTTACCCTCCTGTCTTCCGTTTTTGAAAAAAGACATTTTTCAACTCCCTGAAAAGTTCCTTTTGCCCACAGCTGGACTGGCAGTTGCGGGGGACTGGGGGCAAGAGGCCGCGTGGGATTCCTGCTGGTGCTGGGGCTAGAGGGCGTCTGTCCTGTGGACCAGTCAGGTGGCAGGAGGCGCTGCGAGGTGCCCCGGGGAAGATGCAGGGTGCAGGATGGCCTCAGGACGGCAGTAGTCACGCGCAGTTCCGCAGCGGGGCTAGCGCAGGCCCGGCTGGGCGCACAGCTGCCTCGTGACGGCAGGTGGCGCTGCGGGGCCGCGGCTGCCGGGGAAACACCTGGACAGGTGAGGGCGGAGTTTCAGGGGAGAAGGGGGCGGAACCGGGCCCGAGCCACAAGAGGCTTGGGCCGCGCGGCCCGGTGATGCTTGCGTTGTGAGCAGGGCAGAAGAGGAGCGCTGCCGGATCGTGCACACGCGAGCCCGGATCCTTCGGAACTGAGAGGTGAGCTCAGCCGGGTCGGGTCGGGCCAGCTCCGGGGCTTCAGGCGCCAGAACGGCCACGGGGCGCGGTGGCTTCCCCGACGCAGATCGCGCGGTCGGAGGGTGGCTGGGATGCTGAGACACTTTCCCTGGCGATCCGGCTCCAGCTCTCTGGTCCTCGGCTCCCGCGGCGGCCAGGGACACAGGCGTTTCTGAACTTCCAAGAAACCGGGCCTGGGGTCTCGGGCCGCCCTTCGATTCTTCTCTCCATCCGGCGCCTGCCAGGCTCCCTTCCCGCCCTGGCGAAGCGCATGGACTTGACGGCGACGGTCCCTTCATGCTCTGGAATGCTCTTTGCGCGACCGCGGTTGCAGAGAAGCTGGTCGGATTCTCTGGGGCGGAGGCTTCGCCGGGCAGACGTGGCTCCCGCCGCAGGAGGGGGACCAGGCAAGGTCGCTCCGCGCGGGGCGCACGGGCCTGCAGCTCCTCCGCGCTCCAGCGACCTCCGCACAGCAGGGAGGTGCATCGGGGACCGTCCCTTGTCCCAGACTCTTGCCTGCCCCGCTATGGGGACCCCCATCCTAAATTTAGAGCAAATCTCTCATTCCTTCCTCCCCAGGCTGTGAGCTCCCTCACTGTGGTATGGGGGAGTAAGGCAAGGTTGGGGGTAGGCAAAGGACGTCCAGAACACAGTGTCAGGATGAACCAGGACCCTGGAATTGGGCAAATTACTACCCTTTGTGCCCCTCGGTTTCTCCCTCTGTGACATGCAGATGATAATAATTGTTATTTAATCCTCATGGTTGGTAGTGAGGATTAAATTAGGTAATGTGTAAGGTCTGAGTAGCAGGCCTGAGCAGAGAGTAAGCGATCAATAAATGATAGCTGCCATCGCTTCTCGCCTTTTGGCTAAGATCAAGTGCAGTATCTGTTCTTATCAGTTTAATATTTGATACGTCCTCTATCTGAGGACAATATGTTAAAAGGATTTTTGGAAACAGGAGATGGAATAGAAGCTTGCTCCGTCACTCCACGCATTGACCTGGTATTGCAATACCTCCAGGAACGGGTGCACCAAAAAAAAAAACAAAAACGATAGCTGCCATTATTGCTGTTGATACAGTTGATGTCACTGTCATTTGAGGACCAGCATAGCTAGTAGATAAAAATATGAGTCCCTGGGTTCAAATCCCAGTCTGACCACTTTCTAATGTGACCTTGGGCAAGTTACTTAACTTTCAGTGTCTCAGTTTCATTTGCACAATGGGGGAAATTCTAATTGCGAGCACTACCAAGGTGAAACCTAGAAAGTATTTAGAAGGGTGAGTGCTGTGTGTGCTGATTGCCCTGTTGAACCAGGTGGGGTAACCCAACAGAACCTTGTTTTGCTGTGAAGCTGAATGCTTCTGTGCGAACAATTCTCTGCTTTGTGACATTTGCTGCTCCTGTGACATTGCTGGCTGATCTGCTGGATCAGATTCAGTCCTGAGGAAGGGACTGATGGACAGAGGGACTGTTGGTCTTTAGCAAGAAAGCCCAACAGCTGGGGATGGGGGCTTCCAAAATCCCAGTTTCTGGGAAACATTTCAGAGGAGAAAGCAGTGTGCAGGTTGCAGTACAGGAAACTGAACCTGGAACCTAGGTTTTAATAACAAACATAAAAATTCTTACCAACTTTTTGGTTCAGATGGGCAATATTTAAAATGATAATATAAAATAAATTACATTATAGTCAGAGATGGCTTTTAGCCTAGAAAAATCATTTAAGTCTATGGAGGGTTTTCCTGCCTCTGGGCATCTCACCTCTGCCTCTTCACTCTGTTTTCTTTGCATTATAAAACTCAAACTCACTACATCATAAACTTGAAAGTCCCTCAGCCTTGCCCCAAGGAATATGGTCTAATTTTAGGCCATATTCCATAGGTTCAGATCCTGCCTGAAGAACCGGTGGACACGCCAAAATCCCTGTCCCAATGCAAGCTCCTCAAGGGCGCACTCCAGTTCAGAAAAATGTCCTATTTTACTTTTGTCACTGTGGAATACACAGGGGATAGGGTTTGCATATACCTCTCCCTCAATACCACTGTTCACAAGTCTTGATTTATGGCCATATTTGGTGTTTCTTCTCCTTCCTCCTATCTTTCATCCAGGTACTGTTAATGAACTATCTACTTTTTTTTTGGTGGTGGAAGGGAGGTTTCTGGCACAATAGCAGGCCCCTCAAAGACATCTACATTGTCAGTTGAAGTTGCAAGGCTCCAATCTGCTCATGCACTAACCAGCTGAATGGTCTTGCGCAAGGCACCCCACCTCACTGAGCTTATCTTCTTCCTTTGTGACATGGAGATAATAATAATATGCCTACCTCGTGGAACTAGTGAAACATGACGTGAAGTATATATAGACTGTGTGTATTTATAGAGAGACTGCATATTTTAATGAGACTATATATGAAAACACGAGATGAGTCTCTCTGCACTGTATAGCATGCTAGTTCATTCTAAAATTAATATGTTTTTCACACTGTAAAGTTTCTGTAACTGAGCTGCATCCTAGACATTGATGATGAATGTGGTCATTTGCTCTCCAATACTCTCCCCGAAAGCTGTTATTAAATCAAGATGCATTCTCCAAATCAATGGTATCTTATGATCAAGGAAATATGGCCCATGGTCTGGCGAATATTAAGTGGCCAACAGTTGTAGGCTGTTAGATTAGGGGCTCTGGGAACACTCAGGGCCTGACTGTAGAGAGAAGCAATGAAACGGAAATCATTTCACTTGCAAGAAAGCAGCAGGGTAGAGGGCAGGGAAAACACGGCCTGGAACATGACCTACCACAGCTGCTGGGAAGTTCCCCTGGCAGACTATCTCTGACAGTGACACCTTTTGAGCACATGCTCTGAATCAGACGCTGTGTGAGGCACCAGGGGGCATAGTGAGATAAGAGCACTGGCCTCCTGGAGGGCGGGCTAAGGGAAGCAGGTAAGTCACAAGTCAGTGCCCCTGCTTGAGAAGATTGGCGCTGGCTGGTCCCTCTGAGGGCTCCTGCACTGCACCGACAAGTCAAGGGAAAGGTCCTTCAGCCAGTCCAGCCAGTCTCCACAGGTTCCACCTCACCCAGCCCCACAGGGCTAGGCCTGGGGGCCCTAAGAGGAGGAGGCAGTGTTTTTGGCAGCTGTGGTGGCCAAAAACAAATATCCTGGAGAAGGGGCCAAGCCTCCTCAGAATGCAGCCTATCCAGCCCATGGAGGAAAAGAGGCTGGAGGCCTGTAAGGACACATGGGCTCCGGGGACATGCCTGCAGGCCACCTGCATGTGGGAGTTCACTTGCTTTTCTCCTCTGCGCCACCAGCACGCTGTCTGCTGTAAGGTTCCATCCTCACCATGGCTCCCGGAGAGAAGATCAAAGCCAAAATCAAGAAGAATCTGCCAGTGCGAGGCCCTCAGGCTCCTACCATCAAAGACCTGATGCATTGGTACTGCATGAACACCAACACCCATGGCTGTCGCCGCATCGTGGTGTCGCGTGGCCGCCTGCGGCGCCTCCTCTGGATCGGGTTCACGCTCACAGCCGTGGCCCTCATACTCTGGCAGTGTGCACTTCTTGTTTTCTCCTTCTACACCGTCTCTGTCTCCATCAAAGTCCACTTCCAGAAGCTGGATTTTCCTGCTGTCACCATCTGCAACATCAACCCCTACAAGTAAGCAGCAGAGCAGGGAATGGGGACGGGAGTCCTGAGTTCTGTAAGTGCCAAGCCCCTCCCCCAGCTGGCTGCCAAGGATCTGAGCTAGCTTGCAGACATGCTGTTTACAAACTGGAAGCCAACAGTGGTGAGCTGCCCTTTGGCAGGTTCCAAATCTGCACGGAGTTTTCAGTTCATCAGTACTTGTAGGGATGGGCAGCTCAGGAAAGGCTGGCCCAGGAGCCAACATGGACCAGTTTTGCCTGGCACACTGTCCCCTCCCTCCAGTAACACACACTAAGCTCAGCTTAGCTGTTCCTCCAGCTTTCCAGGTCACTCCCACTTTCCCCAAATGTGGGCTGCCTCAGAAGTGATACCCCGGTGACTTCCAGGAGCATCTCAGCTGCCCCAAACCCTCATCTGAGAGAAACAGCCCCACTAAATGAGATCACCCAGGTCTGGATTGGATCAGCCCTTGGTGCTGCCCTGTTGTGGGTTGAAGGGCCTATTCTAAATGGGTCATTGGTCCTCAGGATTATGGAAAACTGATCTTCAGGACAGGTCAGATCCATCAGACCTTGTCAGAGCAGGAGGGAGGATAGGGAGAAGGGAGAAGCAGGGGAGGAAGATTGTCAAGGTTATCAAAGGAAACTAGCCTGTTCAGGGTCATCAACAAGTTGGTGACAAAGTTCAAAATTAGGTCTAAGACTCGTTCTCTACCTCAAAAGTCTTTCTTTCTTTCTTCCTTCCTCCCTCCTGTTCCCCCTTCCTCCCTTCTTCTTTCCTTCCTTCCACCCATTGCTTGTTCCCTAATCATTTACGGAGCATCTCCTGCCATGCATGGTGCTAGGTTCTGGGACAGAGAACTGAACAACCCAAACACTGCTTTTGCCTAGTGGAATTTACATTGTAGAGGGAAGTGAACCATTAACAAATTTATAGTAATTGCATTCCTGTAAATAGTAATAGTGGCCATTTAATTATATAGAGATATATTTCTTATATTTGTAATACACTCATTGAGCCGTCCCAATAATCTTGCTTTACAAATGAGCAAACTGGGAAACTGAGACACAAAAAGTATAAGTGGCTTGTCCAAGGTCACATAGCCAGTACCAGGAAGGAGAACTCTAGCACAGGTGATTTGGCTGTGGAATTAATAACCCCAGTCACATCTGGCCTGTGTAACAAGCAAGAGGAAGAAAGGGAGAGTTAAGAAGGAGACGGGGACCATTTGGCCTAGGGAAGGTTTTAGAAATGATGTCATGATGCCAACTCTTGATCAGTGCTCTTCAGGGTTGTCAAGGTGACGGTCCTACCCTCTGGCCTCCCAGCACTGATTGGAGGACAAGCAGGGGGAACAGGCCAAGTGCACTGGGTGAGATGGAGCCTGCCTCTAGGGGAGACTCTTGGTTAGCAGTTACTTACTTGGCCTCACTGTGGCTGGTTTATGGGAAGTGCCTGACAGTCACCTCTCCAGAAATGCTGGTTGTGTCAAACTCATCAACACACCCTAAGAGCAAGCAGACGGTGGTGCAAAGGTGAAGTCACACAATGTCACACCATGGTCACCCAGGAGCTGTTGTAGGAGCCAATGGTCACCTTGAATGGGGCAACTAGTGAAAGGCCTGATCCATTGGCCAAGGGAGGGGGGCAGAGGGACTGAGGGCTGACACATCTTGGTGATGGACAACGCAGAGCAATGACAGCATTCTGTCAGAGGGGTCTTCCCTCTCCCTGACACTTCCTTCCCTTTTTGGCAGGTACAGTGCTGTGCGGGACCTTCTGGCCGACTTGGAGCAGGAGACCAGAAGGACCCTGATGTCCCTGTATGGCTTTTCAGAAGTTAAGCCCCGCAAGCACAGGGAGGCAGGGTCCTGGAGCTCAACCTGGGAAAATGTCCCACCTAAATTCCACAACCTGGTCCCACTGCTGGTCTTCAGTGAGAACGAGAAGGACCAGGCCAGAGACTTCGTCACCGGCCGGAAGCGGAAAATCAGCGGGAACATCATTCACAAGGCTTCCAATGTCATACACGTCCACGAGTCCAAGCTGGTGGGGTTCCAGCTGGTAAGACTGGCTCCCTCACAGTCTAGGGCCATGGATTGGTGGAAGTAGTGAGCCCGAGTCTCTCCATGGTCATGTTCTCCCAAGACCCCCCCAAAAGAAATACACCCAGTTAGAGAGGTTTGGCTGGAAGCCAGTGAAACCGAGGCAGTCTTTGTGTGTGTGTGGTACTGGAGTTTGAACTTAGGACCTCGTGCTTGCTAGGCTAGCCATGCCCCTAGCTCTATTTTGCTTTTGTTATTTTTCAGGTAGGGTCTCACATTTTTCCCTGATCCTTCTATATATGTCCCCAGAGTGGCTGGGATGGCAGTCTCACCCCACATTTCCAGCTTTTGTATTGAGATGGGGGGAGGTCTCACTAACTTTTTGCCCACACTGGCACCAAATGAAGATCTTTCTGGTCTCCACCTCCTGAGTAGCTGAGATTAGAAGCATAAAACACCATGCCTGGTCAACTGAAGCAATCAGTCTTAAGCATGGAGAAAATGTCTTAGGAGGTGACCAGTAGCTCATGGAGGCCTCTCAGAGGACAGAAATTAGGGAAGATCCAGGTGGCAAGAAATGGGGTTATTCCAGATACTGCTGCTGGATTAAAGGAGTTACTTTCAGGATTTTTTTGTTAATACTTAAAATTCAAATTCCATCTTGGGACTGACTGGCCAAGCTGGAGCACTTGATCGCCCCATGGCTAATGGAGGCCTGTCCTGGTAGAGAGTCTCTCCAGACTGTATCCAAAGGGAGAAAGAAAATTCCCCCAAAGCATAATAGGAGTGTGACACTAGACGGAAGAATATATAACAAATAGCAAAAGCATCAGTATTTCCCACAGAACTCACCTTCCTGAGGTGCTGTGGCCTGACCTCTTATCACTACATCTTGGGAAGCAGGCATTCACAAAAAATGAATTCCAGACTGTCCTGGGCAAACTCCATCACCACCATGTCTCTCCATGCGACAGTTCCCTCGAGGACAGGCTACTTCTGTACCTTCTGATTGCTGATTGGGAGAACTCATGACTCCAATCCACAAATCCTAAAAAATGGCCCCTAAGCCATTGAGATGTCAAAGACTCCCAGCTTCTTTCCTGGACAGTCACAGATTCTCCTTGATATTGGAATCAATTCTTTGGTGTCAGTTCTTTCAGGAGACTTCCCAGTCCTGGGTAATAAGGATGTCAGAAATGTACCGCAACTTCCCATAAAGACCTCATTGTTAGGTGGATCAAATATGGTCTTCCCAACCATGCGGTTGGTAGGATGGTATTCCGCTCAACATTCTATAAGTGGCGTAACAGAGACACATGCCAAGAAGTGTCAGAGTCAAGGCCAGAATCCAGATTTTTAGACTGTTTATATGGTAAGAAAGGGGAGGGTTGTAGAGCAACTTGGTAGCATTCATTATCAAACCCTGGATGTCCGTGGACCCTAAAGAGGCTGGTTTTGCTTCTTGCTTAGTGGCGGAGGGTACACAGGGGTTCTAGGAGGGGGACTTAGTGTCCTTTCTCTTATAGCTCCTTATTTGTCCTTGGGGCTGGGAGGATGACCTCTTCCAGCCCCCAAAAGAAGAGGAAAGCATCAGTGCCCTGGTTCTCCCTCCTGTTCCTAGAATCTGGCCAGGAGTCTCAATAACTCATCCTTCCAGACCTTCTGGTGGGTGATGGTAGGATGGATGGGTCCAGCTTGGTGTCTTCCCTTATTCACAGTGTTCCAATGACACCTCCGATTGTGCCACCTACACCTTCAGCTCAGGGATAAACGCTATCCAGGAGTGGTACAAGCTGCACTACATGAACATCATGGCGCAGGTTCCTTTGGAGAAAAAAATCAACATGAGCTACTCTGCAGAGGAGCTGCTGCTCACCTGCTTCTTCGATGGGATGTCCTGTGACGCCAGGTCAGGAGGGGAAGTGGCTCTCAGTTCCTGTGAGCTGGAGGTTCTGATCCTTGGGCCTTTTGTGTGCGCCTACAGCTTACCTGTAGGTGTGGGGAGCCAAAGGTGCTGTTCTCCTGCCTTCCTTTGAAAATGTAGGTGCAGGTTCTAGAGCCAGTGAGTAAGGCAGGCCTGGTAGAGACTCATCCGGTCACCCATCATGACACAGTAGTTGGTAGCGTGTGTGCAGCTGTGTGTATTACTATGACGTAAAGAGCGAGAACCACCACTCTACAGAGGAAGGAAGGAAGAAAAGGAGGGAGACAGAAGCCTATATTCACATCTGTGAGCCTTCACACCTTTTGACATGCTCAAAGCCCTGGGGGGGTGGCTGGGTGGTGGGTGGGGCTTCCTATGGAAGTCCTACTTGTCTGAAGGGTTCTCTGTCCTTTTTAAATACTAAGGCTTTCTCTCCTTTGTACATGTCCTCATGAGAATTGAGTGATTGGAAAGACATCATCGTAAGGGCTGGATGTACAGTCACATACAGGATTCCTTCTCTGCAGATCATTTCCCAGGACAGGGAATTTGAGTGGAAAATGTTAAGTGTTAGCTGAGAAATTAGGAGCGGAGGGATTGGAGGCAGATTCGTGACATAAGGAATATTAAGTCAGCAGAGAAACCAGAGAGAGGACTGAGAACAAAAAGCCTAGTCTAATCCTCGCTCAGCCTGGCTGAGGGGCCCTCGTTGTCATCTCATCAGAGGAAAACAGGGAAAGTGAGTCATGCTGCCACCCACTGTCCCAGGAAAACCCTGGTGCCATGACGTCAGCTGCAGTGTGTAAGTGGGGTTCCCGCCTGGCCCTTCCTTACCCAGTTTCTTCTTCCCTAGGAACTTCACACTTTTCCACCATCCCATGTATGGGAATTGCTACACGTTCAACAACAGGGAAAACGCCACCATCCTCAGCACGTCCATGGGAGGCAGTGAGCACGGTAAGGAAACCAACATAGAGGTCTGAAGAGTGTGGGCCAAAGGATAATTGGGGTCATCGAGCTTCCTGAAATGCAGGTCTCTACCTGGTCCCAGCCAGAGCCCAACTTTCCCTTTTCAATGTTTCCATCAGCAACCATGTTGGTTCCTTCTTCAGTAGTCTTCCTTCCTTCCTTTCTTTTTTCTTTTCTCCAGTGTTGGAGTTTGAACTCAGAGCCTCATGCTGTAGTTCTTGAGCTATACCCTCAGCCCTTTTTGCATGCATTTGTTAAATAGGGTCTCGTGCTTTTGCCCAGGCCAGCCTTGAACCTTGCTCATCCTGCCTCGCCTCCTGGATTATAGGCACTTACCACCACGTCCAGACCACGTTTCCTTTTTGATATCTCTTCTTCCCTTTGAGGCAACCACAGAGATATCACTGGGTTTCCTTCCTCTGGAAAACCACTCTGGTTTAAGCTCGTAGCTGGTGAGTCATGCTGGGCAGGCAGCTTCTAAGAGGAGTTAAACTCATATGTGCTGACTAGGAGATTAGGGAGGTAGACACACCTGTAGTTTGGTTAAGCGGACAGATTCTGGAGCCAAACTCCAGCTCTGCTTCTCACTGTGTGACCTTGTGCAAGTTTCTGTATAAAGTAAGGCTAACAACAGTGTCTCCATGAAGATTACTGAGAGGATTTCAACATGCAGAGAACTTAGAATAAGACCTGACAATACACTTGGCAACCATAACAAAACACCATAGGCTGGGTGGCTTAAACAACAGACATTCATTTCTCACAACCATAGAGGGTGGGAAACTGGCAATCGAGGCACTGGCAAGTCAGGTTTCTTTTTTTTTTTTTTTTTGTCTTTTCTTTTTTGGTGTTGGGATCGAACTCAAGGCCTCATGCATGCTAGGCAAGCGCTGTACCACCAAGCTACATCCCAGCCCGCGAATCAGGTTTCTGCAAGACATCTCTCATTAGGTTGCAGACACCTGTCTTCTCCTTGCATCCTCACCTGGCTTAACTTCTGTTGCAAATGGAGAGAGAGAGAGAATGCTGTGATGTCTCTTCCTCTTCTTCCAAGGACACCAGTCCTATCAGATTAGAACCACACCCTTATGACCTCGTTCAACCTTGATGAAGGTCCTCCCTCCAAATGCCATCACATTGGGGTTAGGGCATCAACATAGGAATTTCAGGGGGACAAAATTTAGCCACACACACACACACTATACACTATGCACACAACAAATTTAGTTGTTGCCATTACTACCACAGTCATGCCAGCATTTCTCCTGGGCTACTACCACTGGCACCACCACTCCACCTACCTACTACTTCCAGTTCTGCAGTCACTACTTTTCTGTGGCTGTCCCTTTTATAGGGCAATAGGGACTCAGTGAATTGGCCTGGTTTCCCACAAAAGAATTCTTGCATGACCCTCTGCAAATTGAACATTGTCTGACATATAAATATGTTCCACCAGGAAAGGCTCAGCTTGGTCACAGAAAAATCCATGTTCTGGCCTTCATTGCTGTGTAGTCTGTGTTCTTCCCAAGACTGTGGAAACAATTATTCAGACTGCACTCTTCAGCAGGAAGGAATTGTCTGGTAACTGAGAGCGGGAAGGTGCAGAGTTCTGGCTCTGCTGTGTGGGGGCTGTGTGACCTCCAGAGAATCACTGGCCTCCTCTGGGCTTCTTTGTTTTCAAATTAAAGAGGTCAGAACACCTTTTAAGGTATCTGTTCATTCGCACATTCATTTGCCAGACATGGACTGAGAACCTGCTGGAGGCCAGGCTATTTTCTAGGTGCCAGGCGTGCTGTGGTGACAAAAGCAAGACAGATGCCATTTCTACTTTTAGGGAACCTGCTCTCAGTGGAGAGAGACACTTCAGAAATGTGCAAACACATCTGCAGCTGGGGTCTAGCTACACATCCTACTGAGAGGGGTGAGGAGAAGAAGGCAGCAAGGGGGCAGAAAAGAGAGTGGTGGGGTCAGGATGGGATTCCAGGTGGAATTTGGAGATTTAGAAAGACCTCACCAAAGGGTTATTTAAGGATGAGAAGATCCACCAAGGGAGTCTAGGGGCCAGAAAATACAAAGGACCTGAGAGGAAAATGAAGTTGGCATGTTCTAGAAACAGAAATGAACTTACGGGGGGGAGGAGGCCAGTGAGAGAAAATGAGGAGGGAGAGGGGCTGTGTCATCCAAGCCAGCCACAGCTGGGTTGGTTCTGTGGCACTCCCCTATGTCCACTGAGCTGCCCCTCATGGATTTCAGGCCAGCGAGTGACCACACCTGATTTCCAATTTCCAAGATCTCTCTGGCAGTTGGGGATAGGATAGATTGCAGACAGCAAGGACAGGGGCAGGAAAGAATCAGCCCCGAGTGACTCAGCCCATCCCTGATTCTCTCTGTGAGGGCTTCAGCAGCCAGAATTTCCTGTCTCGAAGGACCACTAGATTTGCATGTCTCAGGCAGAGGAGCAGTTTCCTTATGCTTAGCAAGAACTGTGACAAGGAGGCTGGGTTTGAACCCCTGTTTGAGCCTAACCATGGGGGCACAGCAGTGGATAAGTCAGCTACAAGTCCTGCCTTCCTTAGGAGCAGCTGTCATCAACCTTTCACTTTGCCCGGCTCCTGGATTCGACCTAGCCTTTGACCACAGCAGGCTGCCTTGTCTTCCCAGGGCTGCAAGTCATCCTGTACGTAAATGAAGAAGAGTACAACCCCTTCCTGGTGTCGTCCACGGGGGCGAAGTGCTTGTCCACCGGCAGAATGAGTACCCGTTCATTGAGGACGTGGGCACAGAGATTGAGACAGCCATGTCCACCTCCATAGGGATGCACCTGGTAAGAGAACATTCTGATTTGTTAGGTTTCAAGAGGAGGGCGATTTTTTTTTTTTTTTGAAGGATAACCAGTGGAGGGGGCAGCCTGTGGAAAAGGATGCTTGTTTCAGAGGAGCATTCTAAGTGCTGACTTATTCAGTGATCATCCCAGGAGATACAGTCAAGGTTGTCTTCCTATCTTCTGTATGGATGAACAAGGATGGGATACCATCTGGGGAAAGAATTTAAGGAACCTCCCTTTTTCCAAAGAAAGGAAACAGCAGTTATGGAACCTGAGAAGGAAGCAAGGCATCGGTCAGTCATACAAACCGAGCAGACAGATGAACAGCTTTCTTTCCAGGTTGCCTCCCAGTCTTGCAGGATGTGAACAACTTAGACCCTAACAGAAAGTCAGTGGGCTCTCAAAGGTCTATTAGCCCAGCACACTCCCGTCCATTTCACCGCTCCCTCTGAGTCTTTGACCTTCTGTGGCCTCATTGGGTGCTGGAAACCCTCAAACCTTTCACTAGAAGTCTTCCTGGGCTGCAAGTATCCACCAACATGATTGACTGCATTCTTGACGTATTGCTACTCTGTCAAGAAAATATAGTATCTACTGTAGTTTTACTTTGCTTTCCTTCTTAGTGGCATTGTCCACCAGTTTATGGGAGGCAGCAATCCCTTTGGGGACTGTCAATTCATGGCTTTATATGTCCAGACTTAATGTCCCACCCGAAGCTCCCCAGCCTCCATCCCTCACACACTCGCTCTGTAAAGCAGTGGTTGCCGTCAGCCTCTGTTGTATGCAGTCAGAATTTGTTCCCATACTCCGGTGATTACTGCGAGAGGCACCACACTCAGGAAACCTGGTTCTAGAAATGTTGGCACTTCTAGTGACGATGTAGCTCTGTGGTAGAGCAATTGCCTAGCATGTGCATGGCCCTGGGTTCCATCCCAGCACTGGGAAAATAAATAGATAAATAAAAAACTTACTAGAAATCCAAGCAATTCTGAATTACAGGAGAAGCACATTGTGTCTTCTCAACTGACAGTGAAGCTTGGTGACACAAAAAGTCTACTTAGTGCAGCCGCAGGTAGCTTTGAGTTGGGTTGTGAAGTGATAAGATGGACTTCTGAAGTTTGCATACCCATCCATCCTTTACCCACTCAGCCATTATTTTCTGAGTGACTCCTCTGTGCTAGATCCCAGGGATGCTCTTTGGTGGCAGCACTACTTCAGCTTAGACAGCAGAGATGACAAATTGATATGGTGGTGTGACAGAAGATATCTGCGGTTTCATAGCGCCCCATCCAAAGGACAGTCCTGGACAGGGGAGCTCACTGTAGTTGTTTACTAATGCAGATGCCCCAGAGGCGTGGACCACTAATTCCTCTGTTCACTGGGGATCCCAAAACTCCCAGAAGGCAACAGTGGCCACGTGGTCAAGCATTTCCCATTCAGCTTCTCTATGGCCTGAAGAAGGACCTGAACTTTACAGCACATCCCTCCCTGCTCTTTCTCCCTCCCCCTGCCTCTGTCTCTCATGACATTTGCAAAGGGCTGAGAGTTAGTGGAGCTGGCCAAAGATCAAGAATGAAGGAATTCTCTCCCCACATTTTGTCCTCTGAGCTTGGAATTAGCCACCATGTTGTCAAGTAAATGTCGTCCTTACCAATGGTGGGGAAACAGAGGATTTTCTGCCTCACCTAATTGGAGATGTAGAAAATCAAAGCCGCAGAGTGGGGCCAGTCAGGTCTAGGTCTGATTTATGACATTTAGAACAACAAAAACCCAGGGATTATTAAGAGGTCAGCCAGGGGTCACTAAGAATAAGTTCAAACAAGCGAAACTTCCTTCCTTTTTTATTTTTCACATTATTCATTTATCTGTTTGTTTTAATAGGTATGTTCAGATATAGTCAGGTCATTGTGTAACAAACTTTCTGCCTTTCATTGAAGGACTATGTGTTCAAAGCACTGAACAGTCAAAGATGAACACATCAGCGCTCCTCGCTCTAAAGATTCTTACCTTTAAGTTGGGAAGACAATACACAGGAGGTTGAGATGGGAGGATCATCGTTTGAGACCAGCCCTAACTGGCCTCAAAAGCTAGCAAGACCTCATCTCAAAAAACAAGCCAGGTGTGGTGCTACACAGCTATAATCTTAGCTACACTAGAGGCAGAGGTAGGAGGACTGTGGTCCAGGCTGGTCTAGGCAAAAAGTGCAAGATCCTATCTAAAAAATAACTGAAGCAAAAAGGGCTAGGGGCATGGTCCAAGTGGTAGAGCATCTGCCTAGCAAGTGCAAGGCTCTGAGTTCAAACCCCAGTGCTGCCAAAAAAAAAAAAAAAAGGACAAGAAAGATGGAAAGACAAAAATCAACACAAATTTGTAATACAATTTCCATCTCTGTGGAAACAAAGACCTTGTCTGTTTTGCACCCAGACTTGGTTCTTAGACCATGGTATATCCTCTATAAATATTGGATGGACATCGAGGTAGAAGCTGCTGGAGAAAGCTTGAGTGATGAATTACTGAAAGACAAGGTCAGGCAAATCATGTCAGGAAAGATGAGTTTAGACCAAGGGCAGGAGCAATTCCAGAAAGATCACGGGAAGGCTGTTCGGCCACGAGTTGAAGCTTTTTGAGAAGTCCTTTGTCTGGAGTGTAATCAACACACATTACAGAGGGATGACACGCACCTTCCCGGAGCGTTGGCCGTGGGATGAGCGGGAGGGAGTGGGTTCAGAGATGACTGTGTGGAAGCAGCAGGGGCTGACAGTGCTATTAGCAAGGAGACCCAGGGAGAGTGAGGTGGACTTTTAGGTCTGGGCTCAAGCATTGGGGTAGAGCAGGGTGGGCAGCTGGGGAGGAACCAACAAGTCCACCCCAACTTGGTGGCACATAGCATCATGCTACAGGTTCTAGAATTCTTGTTTCTAACCTAGAGAAGAGGGTGCTATAAACAGGGAGTGAGCAAAAGGCTGGATCTGTAAATCTTTTGTCTGAATTTATTTCTATTATTACATGATGGATTTCTTAGCTGTCACAGAGTTTCTATCATTTTAAATTGACTTGTACTTTTTTGGTGGTGCTGAAGTTTGAACTCAGGACTTTATGCTTGCTAGGCAAGTGCTCTACCGCTTGAGCCACACCTCCAGCCTGTTTTGCTGTGCTTATTTTGGAGATAGGGTCTCGCTTTTGCCCAGGCCAGCTTGGACCACGATCCTGCTATTTACTCTTCCCACCATAGCTGGGATGACAGGTACACACCACCACGCCTCGTTTTTTCTCTTGAGATGGGGCCTCACAGGCTGGCCTGGAACCATGATCCTCCTGATCTAAGCCTCCCAAGTAGCTAGGATTATAGGCGTGAGCCACCAGCACCCAGTTTAAAAAATGTGGCACTTCCCTGAGTTCCAACCCCAGTCCTACCCAAAAATGAACTAAATAAATAATGTAGCACTTGACTTTTTGCCACGGAAAAAATAAATATTATCCCAGTACAAATTAAAAAAAAAAAGATAACTTGCTCAAGGTAACATGGCTGGTAAGGAGAGCTGGGACTCAAGCCTAGAAGTCCTCCTCTTAACTCTGCACCTCTAAGCGCTACTGTGAGGAATCATTGAGCCTAGAGCCCGGAGCTTGCTTGTACAGTGCCTGGCTCAGAGTGAGTCCCCTGGCTTAGTTTTAATTGTTAAAGTAGGCATGCCTTCCATTCTGAACCTCATCCACTCCCAATACAGCAGCACAAATGCCTGATCCCCGATCTTTAGCCATGGTCTTGCTGCTGACACTCAAGCGACCACTGGTCGTTTTTGTGTAGGTGACCCATCAAATCCCTTCATCATAGCATGACTCTGGAAGTTTGCAAAAGGAGCCAAATCCTGCCATTGCATACAATGGTAATGGCTATATTCCACCTCTTAAATCTGGGTCAGTCACGTGACTTAAGCGTTGACCAATGGGTGTTAAGAAGATGTGCAAATAGATGCTTGAAACTGCTTGCATATTGGAACTTGCTGAGCTTAGAGCCCTGGGATTGTCATGTGAGCAAGTCCAAGCCAGCCAGCTCAGGAAGAGGGCTCCGTGGAGAATCAAGGTCCCCCTGCAGACTCAGGCGCCTCACTTGCTGTGAGTGAGAGCTGGTGGAGGACAGCTGAGCCTGGTCTAGATCAGAGAAGCTGCCCAGCTGAACCCGGCCACATGCCTGGCCATGGGTGAGGAGCTGACACATGGCAGATGTTTGAGGCTGCTCAGTTTTGGGGTGGTTCATAAGTAGCAAAAGTTAAGTGGTATTGTGTCTAAAACTGAATCCAGCCTCTCCTCCACTCACATAAAACCTACCCAGTCTCCTGTATGTCTTCTATTAGCTAATGACACCACAACCTATCCAGTGTCCCAGCTAGAAACCCAAGCATCATTCTAGAAAACTTCTCTCCTTCATTCCATCCAGTCATCTCTTGAATCAGTTAGTTCTTCATCATTCTTGCTCACTGCCTGGTTTGAGTCTCGTCCTCTCTCTCCTGGGTGAGGAGCTCTGCTGTAGCTCTGCTGACCCTACACTTTCCCTTCCTTGGTATCCCTCCATCCTCCACCACCCACCCATCTGAGTAACAGATCTGGTCCCCCACTGCTCACTGCCTGTGATTCAAGTCGAAATGCAAGGGTTGGAGGTGTGGCTCAAGCGGTAGAGCACTTGCCTAGCAAGCATAAAGTCCTGAGTTCAAACCTCAGCACCACCAAAGAAAATACAAATCAATTTAAAATGATAGAAACTCTGTGACAGCTAAGAAATCCATCATGTAATAATTGGAATAAATTCAGACAAAAGATTTACAGATCCAGCCTTTTGCTCACTCCCTGTTTACAGCACCCTTTTCTCTAGGTTAGAAGATGAGAATTCTAGAACCTGTAGCGTGATGCCATGTGCCACCAAGTTGGGGTGGGCTTGTTGGTTCCTCCCCAGCCACCCCCTTCATTATAAGGAGGGTACGCTTTACTTCCAGAGAAGGGGAGGATTGGGCCAGCTAGCTTATCTGTGTCTCAGTCTCCTCTTCTGGAAAGTTGGCCCGTTGTGAGAGTAAATGAGCTGATACAGGTGAGATGCTTACCACAGCACCTGACAAGTCAAGGTAAAGTACAGTTGTTGAAAAAAACTGAAGCTCAAGCCAATCAAGTAATTCCATCAAAGGCAGCTCAGTGGGGGCTAGAGGTATGGCTCAAGTGGAAGAGCTACTGCTTTGCAAGCACAAAGCCCTGAGTTCAAACCCCAGTACCACCAAAAAAAAAAAAAGGGCAGCTCAGTGGGAATCTGGATTCAGATTCATTTAGACTCCCAAGCACCATGTCTCTGCCCCCTCTGCTGGCCTGCTTGCTGCCATGCTTTTTTAGGGGCAGTTGACCTTTAACCTTAACATGGTTCTTCCAGAATGAGCCTCTTAGGGGAGCTTAGAATCCAGCCGCCTGTGCACATGTCAAGAGAAGACAATCAGAATGGGACATGGGGAGGAATGGTGACCAGGAGACCCAAAGCTGTCTGGACATGAAGTCTGTCCCTCCCAGGCCCACACAGGTCCAGGAGGGAACCTCACCTATTCCATTCCCGTCTTGCTGTCACTGAGATTCTCTCTCCACAAAGGCAGCAGGCCATTTGGGGAAACAAAGGCAGGGCACGACTATCCAGGGAAAAAAGGAGCTTGGCCTTGGGCTCCAGCTGCTGCTGCCAGCCCAGGGTGCCATTTTGGCCTGTTGATATCTCAGTCCCACATTCAGTGGGGGTGTCCTTTTTGCCATGGGGAGGGTGTCACTCAAAGGAAGTCTTACCCAGAAGTGTACAAAGTGAAGACAGAGAACTGTAGGATCCCAGGCTGAGCCCAGAGACCTGCTGGCTTACTGCCCATCTCCAAGGACGGGCCTCAACCAGGATGCAGATGGAGCAGTTGCAGACCATCTGAGCTATGGTGAAGCTAACTTTGAGAACATGATTTTGGGGCTACTGGCTGAGGCAGTAGTGACCTCTGAAATGCAAAAACAACAGTTGGACAGCCCCTGTCTGGGGAAAACCTGGCTGAGCTGAGCACCTCACAGACCAGGGGTGACCATGCTGGTTGGAAGCCCTCCATGCTGTAAGCAGCCAAGGGCTGGCCTTCCAATCCCAGAAGCTGTGGAGGCTTGATAATGGCCACCCTCATCACTTCCCCCTGCCTCCTGGACCCTCAGGCTCTGCGACCACTGGACTTTCCTCTGGGCGCACATTCTCCCTTTAAAGAGGAGAGCTAAGAGTCCCTGTGCCACTGTCCCTGTCCCCTCCCCAGATTCCTAGAAGGAAGCAGACAGAACTTGGTATGAAAATAACGGGTTCTATGTCCCACACAGATACCTGCATACTCGTGTGTGTGTGCGCACATATGCTCACCCCCACGTGCCTGTGTGCAACACAATGCATGCACAGACACACATGCATACTTGTACATTTACACACTTACTTTGTGCATATTCACACACACACACACACACACACACACTTGTTTTTGTGCCCTTAGGGGTCACTACAGAAGCCAAAATGTCTCTTTCCAGCTGAGTCTTTGAGCAGCCCAAGACCTCTTTCCCCCACTTGTTCTAACCTCACCCCCAGCCCCCCAGTGCTTCAGAAAACAAGTGAACCCGTCAAGAGCTCTGAGTCCCATAAGTGCCTTTGCAAAGTAAAAGGCCCCTGTGCCCTCAGAACTCGCTTAGCTTCCAGGATTCCTGTGCTGTCTGAGTTCTCATGGCCCCAAAATCCCAGCTGCCCTTGCTGGCTAGGCATGGCTTGCCCAAGGGGACAGACCCTCTTACCTGCCTGCCAGGACAATGTCCTTCCCTGACTCAGACAGAGCACATAGCACTCTCTGAGCCCTGTGAGCAGGTCCACAGGACCTGGGCCTTCAAGGAACATCTGTCCAGGGAGCCCGTTATTTGGAACAGCCCAGAGGATGGCATGGAAAAGAGGTACCCAGGGGAAGCCACTGGCTGGTGTCTCTGTACCTCTCAGCAAGCTCTGATGACTTGCTACCCAGCAGCAAAGTCCATTTATTCTGTACTGGCCAGAAAGAAGCTCCCTCGTTATTGTCAGAGAGAGGGAAAACTGCAGGGTGAAGCGAGTGTGTGGGCGTCTGTCTGTCTGTCAGAAATGCATTGCCAGAGTGGGTACCTGGGGGAGGGAGAGGTCATGGCTGCTCTTCCCTTTGTTTCTGAGAACTCAGAGTGAATTGAAGGAGATGAATGGGTCAGCAGGTGGAGTGCACCCCAGCAGAAGATGGCACCCTTCCACTGTCTGTCTGTGTTGTGCTCCTACCTATGTCTTCCTTGCTTTGTCTTTCTTCAAAGAGAAAAGAATTTTCCTCCCTCTATAAATCTGCCATCCCCTTCCCCTTAGCCCTTCCTCCCTCCCTCTCCTCTCAAAAAACCAAACAAAAAGCCCAATGCGTGTGAATGGGCACGTGGGTGCACACACAGCCCGTGGCCCCTCCCTATAAAGTCACAATTTACATTCAATGTTTGCTCCATCTTCAGAGTCATTATCCCCTCACAGCCATGTTTTGTTTTTTCTGTTTTTGTTCATTTGTTTGCCTTGCCTGGATTGTTGTTTTTTTTTCACAGTGACAAATATTAAGTGAGATCCAAATTCAAGGAAATACGATTGAATAAGGTTTTGGAACTTTGAGTGAGGGTATTTTACCTCCTCTGATATCAGGATGTTTTTCTCTGCTTGATTTTCCTTGGTCCTTTTTAAAAGTCAGCATGAGGACCAGAAGTCAAAGGGTCCGTGGATGGGGCAGAAATCCCAGGCAGTTTACAGTCCCCACATGTCTTTCTAATCCTGCCCTCCTCCAAGGGGTTCACGAATGGCTCATCACCTTTTAGAAAACCAGATCAAGATTTCTCAGGAGGGTGCAATTCAGCCTCCACTCTCCTCTCTGAAGTCATTTCCCAAGATTCCTCTCTTTTGCCATGTTCTCCACCCCCATGAATCCCCGCCTCCAATCTTTGCAGCTCCCTCTGCCTGGTCCTCCTTCCCCATTTCTCCACAAGGCCAGCTGTTTCTTTCCATTTCATGTTGATCCAGTAACAATGACAATGGTCCATTTTTTGGAGACACCTTTGCACTCACTCTATGGGACTGACTGCCTCATCCTCCCAAGCCTTCCAGTCTCCTCCACCAGCTTCATCCATCACTACCCATCATCACATCACTTATTTGCTTATTGGGTATCTCCCCTTCTAGAATGTAAGCCCATGAGAGCAGGGAACTCATCACCCTTGGTCACTGTTGACTCCACTACGTCCACCATGGCATGGGGTCCTAGTAGGTTGTGAATAGTTTGTTAAGAAAATGACAAAATGGCTGCTGGACTCCAGAGACCCTCCCAGCTGGTCTCCAGGGAGGGCAGCAATGAATGTGAGCCTTTGTGATTGCAGACGGAGTCCTTCAAGCTGAGTGAGCCTTACAGCCAGTGCACAGAGGACGGGAGGGATGTGCCAATGAATAACATTTACAAGGCTGCCTACTCCCTCCAGGTACGGCATGGTGGGGGTGCCCAGCCCTGGGTTGTGGCTTGAACCCAGGAGACAAGTTATATCTAGGTTGGGGTGTGGCTGGGACCAGGAACTAGGGTGAGGATCACTGGGGTTCGTCCAAAGGCCTCAAGTTCAAACAGATGATACCGGCTTGTTCCAGTCCTCTTTGGTCCTCTGTAACCAGAGCTTAATTGACTCACTGAGGTTTGTGGGGAACACAGTGTACAGCCGAGACAGGCTCGTGTGGCAAGTGAGGGACAGAGGGAAGCCACCTGGGAGAGACAATGACTGAGGGGTAAGGAGTTTGACTTCCAGGCCTTCTTGGGTCCTTCCCTACCGGGCGACTTGGGCAAATTGTGTCCCCCGCCACAGTCACAGGGGCAATCTGATTAGATCAGAGGCTGCTCATTGACAGCTTGGGGTCCCTCCAGGCCACAACCTGGTTTTAGCCTGAATGATGTGTGAAAATTAGGGAATCTTATAAGGAAATCCAGATTTGCTGCTCCTGTCAAATGAACAGGGGTGAGGGGCAGGGAACAGTCCCATTAAATGAGCCTGGGATTATCTGGGCTCCACAGTTCTCACCTCCCCCCAGCATATTACACTTGTCACTGGCCCCTGTGGACACTGGAGTTCCCAGCCCTTGAGTGCAGTGCTCAGTGAATATTCTGGGAGTCTGCTGTCAGATACCTAGAGGGCATGGAAACTGTCCTGGCAAAGTCAGGGGACCAGCCACCCTCCACCAGAGTGCCCCAGCTCCCACCAGAACAGAGCTGACAAGTGGTGGAGACCATGAGTAAGAAGGGAGTTTATAAGAAAATAGAACAAAACCAAATGGACAAAAAAGACACACACACAAAAGTAAGCTCATTGGTAAGACGTCCTGAATGATATTTAGAGATAAACTGCTGTGGACAAACTTCCAAAGATGAGTTTGTTTCATGCTTACCTCAGTCTCAGGGAATAGGTATTATTGTGCTTATTTCAAAAATGAAGAAAGCAAAGAATCAGAGAGGTTAAGTGACTTGCTTAAGGACACAGAGCAGGGAGGTGGCAAACCTGGGATTTGAACCTGAATAGCCTGGCTTCAAAGCCCCTGCCACTAGCTTCCTGGCTATTGTGTGGTAGCTTGTGGTCCTCAGAGATTCAGTGTGGAGGCCTTGGACCTTAGAACGGGAATGTTGAACTGTGTTTGTTTCTATCTGCCTCTTGGAAACTGCTCCGGTTTCCCGGTCCCAGCCCTCACATGATGGAAGTGACCCTCTAGCCCTAGCTCAACCTAAATTCTCAGTACATTCTCTAGCCTGGCCCCTTTGGAGTCAGGCACCCCCATACACCATGCAACTTGGCATGGGGGGGCATAATGATGCAGTGAGCTGCAGCAGGGGAGCCTGGCCCCCTGCCCCCTGGGTGAGGGTGTGCAGGCAGCACAGAGCAGAAGGACATCTCTGCGTCTCTTTCAGATATGTCTTTACTCGTGCTTCCAGATGAAGATGGTGGAGAAGTGTGGGTGTGCCCAGTACAGCCAGCCTCTACCCCCAGCAGCCAACTATTGCAATTACCAACAGCACCCCAACTGGAGTGAGTGCATCTACCCCCAGCTCTGCACACCCCAAAACAGGGAGCAGCTCAACCCTGCTCTGGGCTAGCCTAAGATGTGCCTGGGCCCCTGCCCCTCCCCTCTGTGTTTTACTGGAGGGAGGTTTGAGATGCTAACTAGACTTTCACTTCTGTTGTGGAGACTGGCTTTAGTTCTACCTCCCAATTAAAGACCAAATGCTACAACCCAGCTTGCTCTCACAGCTTGACCACCATGGCCAACACCAGAAGGCACTCTTCCAAAGAACAAATAACCGAGGGACAGAAAAGTTAAGCAACTTGCCCAAGGTCACACAGCCAGCAGTAACAGAGCTGAACCCAAACCAAGGGCTGCCTAACTCCCAACCGATGTCCATCCCTATCCCCCAATATTCTCTCTCCGCATCACACACCAGAGAGTCAGTGTTTGGAGAGAGGAAGGAGAGATCATTAATTAACATGAGGCTGTGGGGACTCCGTGGGTGACCCAGGGACCCCCAAGAAGGGCGCGTGGCCCCAATGCTCACACTGCCTTCCGTCACATCCCTCAGTGTACTGCTACTACCAGCTGTACCAGGCCTTTATCCAAGAAGAGCTGGGCTGCCAGTCAGTGTGCAAGGAAACATGCAGGTGGGTAGGGCTACAGGGCTGGGGAAGGCAGGGCTGTGCCAGGCTGGGCCACCCACACTCACTCTGCCACCTTCTTCCCTAAGCTTTAAGGAATGGGCACTGACCACCAGCCTGGCACGCTGGCCATCTGAGGTTTCGGAGGTAAGTTTTACAGCCCACTCTTTCCCCTCAAGTCCCGGATGTACTCACCTGTTCTTGGCGGGGATGGGGGGTGTCTGGGGAAGGACCCCATCTTGCCGAGGTCATGGACAGGGAAGTGGCTGAGGAGGGAGTGCAGATGGCATCCCCAGGACCACACTTTCTTTCTCCATCACAGAAATGGTTGCTGTCTGTTCTCACCTGGGACCAAGGCCAACAGATAAACAAAAAGCTCAACAAGTAAGTTCACGGCCACCCACTTCCCTCTGCCGGCGTCTGCCAAGGGCTCCAGCCTCTCTGCCTTCTTCCTCACTGCTGTGCCCTCTCCTGTTCAGTCAGTCATTCAGTCAGTCAACAAATATCAATTGAACTCCTATCGCAAACCAGGCCCTGCTCAGACTTTTGTTTGACCACGCTCCACCACTGAAATACTTTTTAGACTGTGGTCTATCAAGAATGTGATTGAACCCTAGCACACAACAGTGTTTATGACGTACGAAGCATGGGACTGATTTTCAGGCGATGCACACTGGTGTGGCCAAACCAGTTGTTTGCAGTTGTCTTTCAGTATCCTCAGGGGATTGGTTCCAGGACCCCTCCCCCTCCCGCCACGGATACCAGACTCCCAAGATGCGCCTGTCCCTTATGTAAAGTGGCGTTGTGTTTGCATAGAACCTGCCAAATCCTCCCTGACGTTAAGTCATCTGTAGATTACTCATGATACCTAATGCAATGGAAATAGTTGTACCGTATTGTTTAGGGAATAATAACAAGAAAAAGGTCTGCACATGTTTGGTAGAGATGCAAGTTTTTTCCTAAAAATTTTCCATCCATGGTCATTTGAACCCATGGACCCAGAACTGACAGATACAGAGGAGGGCCAATGTGTTTCCATTCCAAGTGGTCCAGCACACTAATGTGATTCATTTGTACCCAGGCTACCCCAGTTGGTAAATATTTTGAATATTCTTTTGAATGCATTCCGATATTTCCTATACCATTTAGTTTTGTAAGAGATACTGGTCATAGTCCAGTAAATGTATTTCAGGACTTACTGACGCATTCCAGCTTGGAAAAATACTCCTTTGAGCTGGGCAGTTTGTAATCCCAGTTGATTTTTCCACAAAGAAATTTGTTTCTAAGAGAACTTTAGCAAAAATCATCCAGACCAGAGTTCAGGGACAAGGGCGGGAGAGCTTGAGCTCACGTGTGTGACTCAGGCCATGTCATGTGGAATCACATTTCTCTCGGTCACGATCATATCCCAGTGCCCAGCACAAGGCCTGCCCCAGTGGGAGCCAATGTGACCTCTGACATTGATTGGGTTTCTGGGGGACCCAGATGACCTACCACTCATGGTCTCTGCCCACAAAGGGTTTGAAGTCTAGTGATAAACGTAGACTTAGGCCTACCTAAGTAACCCCAAACCAGGGCTGCAAATCAACGACCCCTAGGCCAAATCTAGTCTACAGAAGCAATCCAGTTTTTTCTAAAAACCAAAAGTTCCTGCAGTAAATGAACCTCCATTCTTGCACTGCACCAAACAGCTAAATAATAGCTGCTCCTTTGGAACAAGCAGGAGCCTTCCAGCTTGCTGTCATCCTAGAAGGAGACATTCAGAACTGCAGTCACAAGCATGAACTTGAACCAGATCTCTCAGCCAATGGGTAGCTGTGCAGCCTTGAGCAGGTTACATAACCAATCTGTGTCTCCATTTCCACATCTGTAAAATGGGAGGAAGATTAGAACACTTCTCCCTGCCTCACAGCGATGTGAGCATCAAGTTAATTCACATGAAGTTTTTACAACAGTGCTTGGCAACACAGGAAGTGCCCAATTAATGCTCATTGCTTATTCTATTACTTTATGCCCAGCCTTCCTCATTCCTTTGCATTACCTGCTTGTCTCCTGTATGTATCTGAGATTGCAATCACACAATTACAAATGTCAAAGTTTAATGAAGTACCGGGTGCCATGGGAGTGTTGCTGGGTCGACTGACTTAGTCTGGAGGTTGAGAAACAATTTTGGAGTAACTAATGGCCTGAGAACCAGAGTCAAGCTAGAGATATGGTCTAAGTGTCGAAGGAGCCTAGTGGCCGGGTTGTAATGCCCTGGGGGAGCTCAGAGCCTGGGCCATGCTGAGGGCTGGGCAGGAGGAGTACAGCCATGGGAGACGAAGCCAAGGCCCCTGACCCACCTGAGCCCTGTCTGTTGGAATTGCTGTAGGACTGACCTGGCCAAACTCTTGATATTCTACAAAGACCTGAACCAGAGATCCATCGTGGAGAGCCCGGCCAACAGTGTAAGTGGCGTGCTTCTGGGACCTGTTCCAGGTAGAGCGGGAGGGGAAAGGGCCTGCCTGTGGCTCCCTTGGGGATCAGGGCTCTGCATGAGCTGGTTGGGGGAGGTTCCCTCTGAGGATGCAATATGGCCTCTCTTGCAGATCGAGATGCTTCTGTCCAACTTTGGGGGCCAGCTGGGCCTTTGGATGAGCTGCTCTGTCGTTTGTGTCATAGAGATCATTGAAGTCTTCTTCATTGACTTCTTCTCTATCATTGCCCGCCGCCAGTGGCAGAAAGCCAAGGAGTGGTGGGCCCGGAAGCAGGACCCCTCTTGCCCTGAGGCTTCCTCCAGCCAGCAGGGCCAGGACAATCCTGCACTCAGTATAGACGACGACTTGCCCACGTTCACCTCCGCTATGCGCCTGCCTCCAGCCCCAGAGCCCCAGGTGCCTGGCACGCCACCCCCCAGATACAATACCTTGCGCTTAGAGAGAACCTTCTCCCAGCAGCTCACAGACACCCAGCTACCCACTGAGTCCTGAGGCTGAGCCGAGAAGCACAGTCCAGTCAACCTCACCAGCCACGGTCTGCGCACTTAGACCCTGTCCGCCAGATGCAGGGGGCGCTCCTGTGAACTAGACAGGGCCTGGGCATGTTGGAGGGGGGACCCTCTGTCCTGCCCAGCAGCACTCACCAGGATGAGCAAAGACCCTGTGGTTCGAACTCAGCATGAGAGAGACCGAGGGATGAGGAAACAGGCCAGCCCCGGGCCAGAGGCCAGCACTGAGCTCTTGGCTGGGTCCTGAGAGAGAAGCAAGCTTCCAAAGTTCACTCATTCCCCAGTCCGGGGGAGGAGTTGGTGCTGAGGATGTGACCTTAGCTAGCGAATCCCGACAGCCATTGTCTGATAGCAAAGGCACGGCCCCAGTGCCGTACTGTGGTGAAGAAGCTGTCCTCAGCCATTGACCTTACCCAGGTGTCCTCTGTGCCCTCAGGCAGACGGCAGGCAGAGGACCGGGGAGTGCCTCTGGGAAGGGGCACAGTGGAGTGAGGTGAGAGGTGTGGCAGGAGGTACCCACTCTGGGCTGTGCTCTGGGCAGCTAAGGCAGAGCCCTGGGCCCTTCCCAAATCCAAAAGGGCAGTAAAAGGGCACTGCTGGACATGCGGGCCAAATGGTGTCCCCACAATCCCCTCAGCTGCTCTTCCTACTGACCAAGACAGACCTCCCACGGTCACCACCCATGGCCTGCCCCTCACAACAAGCCACCAGCACAGAGGGACCACTTAGTATGACCTTCTGCTTCAAGGTCAGTGCAAGAGCAGGTTGCTGGGCACTGTTTTAATCACTTACATAAATCAGCCTGGGGGACAGCAAATTGTCCTGCTGAACAAATCCTGGTTTTGCCCGTAAAACTGAAGTATGTGTGTGTCTGTGTGTGTGTGTGTGAGAGACAGAGAGACTTTACTTTTAAATAGCTAAAAATGCATATATATAAAAAGAATATTTTGTGGCTCATGAAAATGATGTAAGATTCAAATTTCATTGTCTATAAATAAAGTTGTATTGGCACACAGTCACGCTCACTCATTTACATATTGTTTATGACTGCTGGACACTGGATTGGCCAAGTCAAGTGATTAAAACACAAACCCATAAAGCCATCTAAGCGCACAGTAGTTCCTCTCCAGCTTTTCCAGAAAAAGTTTCCAGAATGAGACCATTAAGGATGTATGACTATCCCACCTTATGGATGTAGAAACAGAGGCACAGAGAGGTTAAGGTACTTGTCCAAGGCAACACAGCCAGGAAGTTGCAGGGCTGAGATGTGAACCAAGGCTGTCTGATTTCACAGCTCCTATAATGTATGCTAAAGTATATTTTACCACTCCATTATCTTGCATCCAATCCCGTAAGGGTGAGGCTGAGGTCAGTTAGGGTGAAGATTGGGGGAGGCTCAACACCCTGGATCTGGGCCAGAAGGGGCTTCTTCCTCCTTGGGCAGTGGAGGCTGCTAGTGGAGTTCAGAGTCTTTGTGAATGAGAAAGGCTGTAGGACTCTGTCTAGGCCCAGGGACACCCATTCAACCTGAGCCCAGGCCTGTGACTGGAAACACCATCTCTGTTCCATTGTGGTATTTCAACTGGCCCCTGGGGCCAGGGCACTGATGGAAGGCGTACAGTCAACAAGTAGGAGGTCATGATGACCCCAAGTTGTTTGCTGCCCCCACCCCTCCCCAGGAGTGGGCTCAGAACAAGGCCTGGTGCTGGAGCATCGGGTTTCAGAGGGCTGAGCCTGGCTCTCATCCAGGCTGGGCTGGCGTGGCTGCAGCCGGTGCTGACAGGGGAACTTGCAGCTGGTGCTCAGCTGGGCTCTACCTGGACAGGAGCTTCCTCCTCCTCCCCCATGGCAAGAAGGGGCTGCCGTGTCCTCACATTCGTGCAATTGACCAGCCTTGGCATGATGTCACAGGCAGGAACACTTCCAGTGAGTCGGGGCTGGGGCTGGGGATGTCAAGGGCCGGCCAGCCTCTGGCTTAATTGTCCCCTAGCTGGGCATGCTACCCCAGCTCAGGGCACATCCATTTCCACTCCTGCCTGTTTTCTAAGCTGCCCTTTCTCCTTCCCTGCCTCGCCCTCCCCAGCAAATGCAGTGTCACTCTGTGAGGCCTTCCCTTGCCCCAAGAAGTTGAGTTTCCACCACTGTAAAAATGTCACCCCCTCGTATAATGTTTTAATGCTTGTCTCTCATTAGATCGTGAGCTCTGAGAGGGCAGGAATGGTGTCTTTACTCCTTGTCCCCGGACAGGGACAGGGCTGAACACAGCGTTGGCACTTAGGGAAAGCTTGTGGGCTAATAAAGACAATAACGGTAATACTGGCGTATTTATTGAGTTATTTGCTAGGAATTCTGCCAAGCCCTTTACACACATCAGCTTGTGTCATTCTGACAGCACAGGTACACCTGCAAATAAACTGAGGGGCTGGCAGAGAGGCTCGAGTGGTAGAGCACCTGCCCAGCAAGCGTGAGGCCCTGAGCTCAAACCCCAGTACCACAAAAAAGAAAGAAAAAAAAATCCTGAGGCACAAAGAGGTCTCCTCCTAACCACACTGCTAGTAACTAGTAACTTGTAGCTATTAAGTAGTAACTAGTGGGTCCGGAATGGTAGCCAGAGCCACCATGCAAAGTGCCTTTCTCCAGCGCATGTCTACCTGAACTTCAGCAAGTCTTCTTTGGTCTCTCTGGTTTCGGGTCTGGCCTGCTCAGTCCAAGGACATCCTTACCCCAGGACAGAGTGAGCGTGAGAAGGTTAACTCCACTTGTAGACACGGAACGTTTGACCTTCCCAAACTGTGCGAACTACTGGCCTCCCTGCAACTCTGACGTCCCCTCTTGTCCTCTGAGTCCCAGGCTCATGTCCCACTACCCAAAGACCATCTCCTGATGAGTCACGGGCTCACAAACTCAGCATGGGCCTCGCGAACCTTCACTCCAAGGAGAGCTGTGAAATAGACTCCCACTTTTCCTGGAGTTGAAAACTTGGGAGCGAGGCCAAGACCCACGTCATGAAGGTAGTGCCAGTCAAGGTCACCGTGGAGAAAAGGCAGGTCAAGAGGCAGAGAGGCAGAGAATGGGGACACCAGGACCCCATCGTTGAGGGAGCAGCTGAGTTTGAGAACAAGCCTGGATGGAAGACATGAGGCTCCCCTCCCCCACTTGAACCTCCCTATGTCCCGGCCTCCTCCTTCCTGTCCCTACTCCAGGCCACATGAGGAGGGTGTCTCCGAATTACAGACCGGACCTCAGACTTCCTGCCTTCCTCATCACCAACGTGTCTTACATTGCTGGACTCACTCACCCTACGGGTGACTTAACTAACACGTCAACTACTGCTCCCGCTCTCTCTTCATGCCATCCTCCACTCAGTCCTTCATCCAGGCACAAAAGGCACCATCTCTACATGGTGCTCCCATCTCCCCAGCAAGTTGGATTACGTATCAATGACTGACAGAATAAGCCAGCCATTCCATTCCCTCCCTCTTTTCTTCCTTCTTTCCTTCCTTCTCTTCGATCGTACTAGGGTTTGAATTCAAGGATTCACACTTGCTAGGCAGGCCCTGAACCACACGGGCCACACCTCCAACCCATTTTGCTCTGGTTATTTTTGAGACAAGTTCTCGCTTTTTGCCCAGGCTGACCTGGACTATGATCCTCTTCATTTATGTTTCCCGCCATAGCTGGGATGACAGATGTGTGCCACCACACATCTGAGATGGGGTTTCACGAACCTTTTGCATAGGCTAGCCTCCAACTGAGATCCTCTGGATCTCAGCTTCCTAAGTAGCTAGGATTACAGGCATCAGCCATGGGCTCCTTTCCTCTATCTTTCAAGTCAGCAGAGTAGCATCTCTCTTCAGTCATTATGGTGGACTTCTGATGCCAGCTACTCTCCCTCTGCCTCCTTTCTATAAGGACCTGCTCAGATAATCCAGAATATTCTCCCCATTGGAAGGTTTTTGTTAGTGTTTACTGTTGTTTAGATAGGGTCTCTTTAGGTAGCTCAGGCTGGCCTCGAACTCTTGCTCCTTCTGTCTCAGTCTCCTGAGTGCTGGGATTACAGAACCTCCACACACAGCCCAGAAGATCTTTAATTTAATCACACTTGCAAGTCTCTTTTTGTGTCACAGAAAGTAATATTCACAGGTTCCAGGGGTTAGGAGGTAGACAGTTTTGAGGGGCCCAAGGGTAGCAGTTGGCCTCTGACAGGTGCTCACCATGGGTAGGGGGTGGGGATGCCTCTTTAAGCTGAGCTGATGACAATTTTTTGCTCTCCTGGAACCAGACGCTATTCAGCTTGAAGAGACAGACGCAAAAGGCATCAGTATAAGAAACAGTCAGCTATGGAGCAAGAGAAGATAAGTGCTGTGGGAAAAGAAAATGGAGAACAGAGGTGGGCAGGCGGAGGGGCAGGTCACAGCACATTTGGTCAGGGGACATCTGCAGAGGCTGTGATCTGAGCAACATGAATGTGTTAGCCAGTTACTAAGAGAAATGGTTCAAGAAGAGGAAAGATTTATTGGGGCTCACAGCTGCAGGGGTGTCAGGCCAAGGTCTGCGGCATCCATTGCTTTGGGCCTGAGGTGAGGCAGAGCATCACGGCAGAGGGAGCGTGTGGCAGAAGCTGTGCTCCTCATGAGGAAGAACGCGAAAAGAGACACAGAAAGGGGCCAGGGACAAATACCCTTTGAAGTCACACCTCTAGGACTAGAGGTGTGGCACAGGTGGTAGATCACTTGCCTTGCGACAACAAGGTCCTGAGATCAAACCCCTGCACTACCAAAAAGAAAGAAGGAAAGAAGGGAGGACGAAAGAAATCAACCTCCAGTGACCTACTTCCTTAGCTAGGCCCCAACTCCTAAAGTTTCCAGAACCTCTCAAAATATGCCACCAGCTGAAGACCAAGTCCTCAGCACATGAGCCTGTGGGGAGCAGTCCACATCCAAGCCAATGAGGTAACCATTCCTGCACACATATCTGGGAGAA